CCCCCTTTTTTTTTTATTAGGGCCTTATTATAGTGGACAGGGTGAAAGCTTTTTCTATGACTGGCTGCAGGTGGTGTCTTTGGATATCTCTTTATTGTTGCTCCATGCAACAGCATTGGGAATTCAGATGGATTTGAATACATCATAGAAAAAGCCACCTGCAGTCAAATTGCATGATATACTTCTTGCAATCAAATTGCCCTTAACTTGAAAAAGTATTGGATTGGTGTGGACAATGCGGAGAAATATTTGCATGGTGAGTCATATTTTTACACTTAATTGCTATAGTGGTAGTTGTCATTTGTTTTCCTCAGTTATGTAATCATTGAGATTTCGCTTGGAAGAATTTTGCTGGTAGGTGCCAACAAATGACTAATCTTTTGTAAATAAACTTTTGCATACTCATTTTGCATTGGCGAACATCGAGGATGGCCTGAAATATCTCAGGCAACTAGTGTTATGATTTTCCATATTTATTCTTAAGGTGAGGGGACTTTTAGAAAGCAGGTTATTTATTTTCTATTGGAATTTATTAGTCATGTTGCCCTCTCTCTTTCTTTCTGTGAAGTACGGTCTATGTTGCATCGATACACCTATTTATGAAGGCATGTTGTATTCGATACACCGTTACGCGCATACGCCTCCGATACGGAACCGGAACTGATCTTCTACAGTTCAAGTTTACTTATACTCATTTTGCAATGGCGAACATCATGGATGGCTTGAAAATTTTCAGGCAACCGATGTTATGATTATTCCTATTTATGCTTGAGTTTGGAGGGCTTTTAGGAAGCTGATTATTTATTTGTTAGTGTGGGAATTCAATAATCATATTGTACTCTTTCTCCTTCCCTGAAGCAGGATGCAGTTTCTATGGTGATTTGAGGTTATATATATATATAAATTCTCGGCATATTTTACAGGCAATCCGGGTGCACTTCCTTTCCTTATGCATTACCTTAGAAATTAAATAGCCCCTATCTCCATTCTATTTCTCATTTTGGAAAATTGTCACAATCCGCCCATATGAATGAAAAATTTATATTGCACGGATGGGGGATTATATTGTTCTTTTACAGATGGAAGACTTATCATGTTTAGTTTGCTGTGATTTTCTCTTCTATGAGTGAGTTGTGATGGGAATAATGCCCCGATGATTTAGAATTTAGCCTACGCTGACCTTAAAGCAGAACCGCCTTGGGAGAGCAGTGCAGTTAGAACAGTGAGAGATTGAAAAGTTAAAATGTCATGAATATTGTATTATTATGTCTGCTTATAAAGTTTTGCTGCTCGGTTGATGTTAATGCATATCCTATCTCTTCTCTTGTATTGATTGGAGCTACATGAGGGAAAAATAAGGCAGCATTTAGAGATAAGGCAAATTAGCATATATTTGAAATTTATAGTGGGATTAAGAGAGAGATAGTGTATTTCACATGACCTGATTGTGATTCTTATTTTTGTTGGTATCAAGGAATTGTTGATCCTCTTGTTTTCTTTATAATTTCTATGAAGGTATTCTATAACTGCAATTCTTATCGGTGGGAAGTAGTCTGATAGTTTTGAAGTTCTATGTTTAATGCAATGTCAGAAGATGCCTATTGCATTTGTTGACAGTAACACGCTTCCTCACTTTCTTTCTCTTTTAGCATTGGTTGGGTCTTATACTTCTACATCTTTGCAACTTTTAACTTTATTCCAGGTCATGCTGCTAGCGTTAATTAACTATAGGGATTCACACCTATAGGAAACCTAAACTTTAATCATATGGTCATCGTAAAATGAGGGCGAAATATCTAGGTAGTATTTTATTTAAAACCCTAAACTTAAAAGTTAAATACTCTCCTCGACAACCTAAAAATGTTTAGAGGGAGGAAAAGAGGTAGAGGACAAATTGGACAAATTATCATATATTTGACATTAAGAGGGAGATTAAGAGAGATGATATGTCTTGGACATAACCTAGTTGTGATACTTATTTTTGTTGGTAAGAAGGAACTGTTGGTAGATCCTTATGTTTTCATTGCAATTTCTATGAAGGTATTCTATAAATTCAATTCATGTCTCCGGGAAGTAGTTTGTTATAGTTCTCAAGTTCTATGTTTAAGACAATATCAGAAGACTCATAATGCATTTGTAAACCTACATGGCCTGAATCCAAATTGATTTTTAGAAAAGTTAGTATCATGTTCCAGAACTCTTTCACATAGTTTTTAAAGTATAACACATTAATTTAATTCATCTGTAATTCACATAATCTTGTGCATCACCTTTATTCTTAAAAATATGAATCAACACACTCATTCTTCCATCATCTGTCATTTTTTTAGTCTTCAAAATAATATTAAGAAGTTTAGTATGTCAAAAAATTCCTTTTTCTCGTAAGCATTTACACACCTCTATTGGGATATCATTAGGTTTGATAGCTTTTCCATTTTTTTTTTTTTAATCTCTCTAACTTCAGTTTTACTGATACGTTGATAAAAATAAAAATCTTTATTTTCGCTTAGAATTCTATGGTCACTAAAGTCAATCGCTTTCTCATATTCTTTAATACTAAGATAGCAATATGTGATGAAAAAAAATTTTGTTTTTAATTATTTATATAATATGTTACAAACTAAGGAGAGCAAAAGATATATATGTAAGTTGACCCAACAAAGTGATAGGAGATGTAAGAATTTAGTTCAAGGGAAGTGCATTAGGTTTGAAGATCAAGTGTGTTTTTATTAGAAGAGGATATTCAACAAAGGTATATGAGATATTTTGTTAAACGTTTCAATGAAGATTGTGAGTATATGATTGACTTTAGTTACCTTAACATCCTAAATGAAAATTGTGATTTTTTTTTTTTTTTATGAAAATATTTGTAAAATTGAAGATAGAGATATTTTAAAGAAAATGAAACGTGGAAAAGTTGTTGGACATGATGATATTTTGATAGAGATGTTTTATTTCTTTTCCTCAATAATTGTCAGAAGCTTTTAGGCAACCTATTAAGATGTTTTGTCTTGCGATGGATAGTTAGGTCTGTCTGCATGGACGTGTTGAGGTGATTCAACTTCCTTAGCTATAAAACGTTCTCTCTCTCTCTCTCTCTCTCTCTCTCTCTCTCTCTCTCTCTCTCTCTATTTAATGGAAAAAAGTTCAGTTTTATGTATGCTGGTACATTCATGAATGAGAATTTGACTTAGTAGGTCATAATGTAGTTTAAGGGCATGACCTTACATAGTGGGATTTGGGCTTGATGTTGTTGTTGTTGTTGCTTGTGCATTCTTACAATTATTCACTATGAAAAGGAAAAGTGGAGCTGCATTGAATGGTGATACAATTTTTTATTTTTATATCGCAATTGTATGATTAGAACTTTGTTTTCTTCATGAAAAACATTTCCTAATGATATTGTAGTTATCAAGATTTGTGCCATAGAGCACGTACTAGTGTGTTGTGATTATACATAGTGGGATTTGGGCTTGATGTTGTTGTTGTTGTTGCTTGTGCATTCTTACAATTATTCACTATGAAAAGGAAAAGTGGAGCTGCATTGAATGGTGATACTATTTTTTATTTTTATATCGCAATTGTATGATTAGAACTTTGTTTTCTTTATGAAAAACAGTTCCTAATGATATTGTAGTTATCAAGATTTATGCCATAGAACAGGTACTAGTGTGTTGTGATTATTTCTTCTAAGTAAAAAGTTTGGATGGCCATCCTGATGATTTAAGAATTTAGCAACAACAATAATAAGCCTTTATCTCATTATGTGGGTTCGGCTATATGAATCATTTTTCTTCTTTGTGTCTTGTTAAAGGCTAAATTCTCATTTAAATCTAATAAGGGAAGGTCATTTCTAATATTTTTAAGCCAAGTCTTATTGTAGGTATACCTCTTTCTTTCCATCAAATCTAATGCATCTTCTCTCCTAACTGGGTCGTTGGAGGACCTCCATTTTTTGTGACGAAACCAATTGATCTAAGGTGACTCTCTAATCTTATATTCCACCGGAGTTGCTCTAAGATTTTCACGTATATGCTTATTTCTTATCCTTTCTTTAAATGTAAAGCCACTCATCCATCTGAGCATCCTCATCTCTTCGACACTCTACTTAATATTATGCTTCTCTTTTAATAGCCAACATTTTGACCATAAATAATTGCAAGTTTCAACACCAACTTATTATAGAATTTATCCTTTTAAGTTTGAGAGGGATTTTTCTATCACACAACATTTCTTGTTGTAATGGATTCTTTGTCATCATCTTAGGCTTCTCTTTCTTGTTCTTTCCTTCTTCTTCTTTCCTTTTGGGATTGTTATCCATGTCGTTGACTTTGTTTTAGTGGATTTAGCGTGAAAAGAATATTGTTCAACTAATTGATTTAAACACTCCTATAACATTGCCCTGTCTCCATTCTAATTTTAATCTGTTGGTGGAATGACGCTATTGCTATGAAAAAAGAAATTCAAATTTCGTTGAAGAATAAAATACTTCCAATTTACTGAGGTCTGTACTATCAGATTAAAATTAGAATGGAGATGTCTCCCGTGATAGATACGTCAAATCTTCGTACCGATATCCGCATCAGTGGTTAGTTACCTGGAAACTAAATTATGCAGAGTCTCCTTATTAATTACTTTATAAGTTCAATTGTCTAAGTTTCGATTATAATTTTTATGCATGTTGGTGCATCTCACACTCTTGATAGAAAAAGGAAAACTGAAATTGCATTGATGAGGTATAATATTTTTGCTTTTTTATATGGAAATTCTATGAATTACCTCATTTTCATCATGAAATACAATTAAGAAGGCCTAAATATATGAAAGTTGCAAAGATTTGTATCATAAATATAAGGTGTAGTGGTGTGTTGTGGTTATTTGTTTGAGTAAAAAGTTGAGAGGGATATGATGATGATGTTTTTAGAATTCAGTATGAATATCTCTATGCTTCCTATGGTATGGCATTCTTGATTGCCTGGAGTTTAGCACGGTTGTGCAGTGCTTTTGTGGAGTATCTTTATGTTTCCTATGGACATAGATCAACGTAAAGGTTTTTGCAAGATAGGAGCTGAGATTCTTGGGTATGATGAGATGGTGTCTGAAGGATCAGAGTCAGAGAGGAATGTTAGCCATCATGCAGAATGAATGTTCCTATTTTTCTTTTTGATTTCGCTGTCAAGCTAAATGACCTTATTATTCATGCACTGACAATCCAAAAGACAGAATTTATTATGTAGCCTTTACAAGTTACAGACATGAATACTCTAGTCATCTCATATAAATATGGTACCCCAAGCAATAGGAAACTCATCAACTTACATCACTTGATGATTCATTGTCATGCTTCAAAAATGCTGCCAATATCATCTTTAGGGCCTGAAAATCTTAACTTCTGTTTTTAGAACCTATTATAGTTATTTTAATATAATAATTATATTATTTGTGCCTTATTATCCCATAAGAAGAGATGTCCTATATTTTAGCATTGGATGGTTGAAACTAGGGGTGTCAATTCGGGTTAATGGATCAGGTTCGGGTCTGACTCGAGTTGACCCGACTGTAAACGGGCTGACCCGAACCCGTCCCGTTTAGTCAAACAGGTTAGAGATTTTAACCCGAACACGACCCGCGCGGGTTACTAGGTTGATCCGACCTGACCCGCGAACTTGGGCTCAGGCGTAGGCGTGTAGGTGTGCTCCTGCGCTCCGACGACCACGCGGTCCGCGTAGGCGAGCATCCGCGCTCCGATCGACCATGCGGTTCGCGCGAGCGTGACATGGGCTTAGGCGTAGCCTCGTATGTATGCTCCCGCGCTCCGGCGAAGGCGTAGCTGCTTAGACGTGCAGTATTGACGTTGTAGACCTGACGCGAACGGTTGGCATTGCGACGACGCGACGTGACGCCGACGTCCCTCGATTCCCTCCCACGTGGGAAAAATGAAACGGGCAGAGGCGTATGCAGGTCAGCTTGGGTCAATTTCGGGTTACCGGGTTGACTCGGATTCGACCCGTTTTTTAAATGGGTTGAAAATTGAAACCCGAATTCGACCCGTTTGTTAAACGGGTTAATTCAAACTCGGATTTTTCGAGTCGGGTTCGGGTCGGGTCAGTAAACACTTAATGAATTTGTGAGGAAGTCTAGCTTAATTTATATACGGGATATTATGGGGATAAGGAGAATATGGCAAGATTTTTTTTTTTTTTGGTGCTATAATGCCCCTTGTATGTATGTTTGCTAATGAAAAACAAATAAAATTCATAAAGTCTTCCAATCAAAAACATCTTTAATTTATATGAAAAATATTTGAATTAATTTAAAAGGTGTAATTAACGAAAGTGATAGTTTATAATAAATTACATTATATGTATTAGAACAAATGGGCTTTTAAGTAACTTAAATTAACAGTCGAATAAACGGTTCGTTTATGTACATAAAACTTTATAGCAAGGTATTTTGTTTAATTTTTTTTGATATCACATAAATAACAACTTGTAAATTCAATCTAGATCAAATTGTAAATCTAAGCTTTTGAAGTGATTTCCAAGGAGAGAAGTGTAGCATTTATTTTGCAACTCTAAACTTGGTTAATGCTCTACTTGGCATTGATGGCATTATGTAGATTATACCATGGGGAGATTTGAGTGAGATTGTAGATTTTTATAAGAAGAAATTGTCATTAGTGTGGGATTAAATTATTTTGAATATGAGATTATGAAGGAAGGGAGTAATTTGATAGAATACTATCCAAAGGATCATTTAGTATTTACTAATCAAAGTGACATACACAAACAAGGTTAAAATATATATATATAGTGTTACCGCGGGCCTTGTTTGCTGGCGCAGCAAAACTAGGGTTACAGCCGGCTTAGTTCGCTGGCGCTCCGGTGAAGGGTGATGTGGACGGAAGGATTTTTTTCCCTGCCTTGCCAAGCTGGAGGAGGCGCAGAAATTTTAGGGCTGTAAAGGAGTCACTTAAGAATCAGCGATATCAAAGATGATCTTTTGGAGCGCAATGATTTTTCTAACATCTTTCTCCGTCTCGTTTATTGTTGGGATGCCCTAGAGGCGTTGCTGATGATTTCAGAGTATGCTTTTCTCCATCATTGTCTATAATGTCGGAAAAACTCGTCTGTCTTCCCCAAATCCTTGCCCCCCAAAATTCAAGAAACGACGGTAGTCACGAAATTTTGACCGACGTTGCATCGGAAGTAACGAAGGGAGCTCGCTCGCTGAGTGGTAGCGATCTTTCACCCCTTTTGCGTGCTTTTTCGTATTTCTCCTTTATTTCCGCGGATCTATCTGGATTTACTAAATCCAGGATTTAGGACAAACAAGTCTAAAACGCGGTGAAGCGGAGCGTAGACTTACCTTTTAACTTTGCTTTTTTTTTTAGCGTTTGGCAGGATTCATTAGTTCAATTCCTTCATCCAAACAGGCCATTAGAGGCAACTATTTTAGCCTTTTAATGGTTAGTTATTGTGGCATATTGGCATGGAGGCTCGCTTTCTACTATCCTAGTTTCCTTTTGTCTGCTTTTATCTGCATTGCCTCTCAAAAGACTTTTAAATACTAGCGGCAACTTTATATTCTCATAACGCTCATTATTTTTGGGGAGTAAAGCATTATTCTCAGGCAGCTTACTTGGTCTTTTTGGTTGGGAGCTTTGGGTACCAACCAAGAAGTCTTTTGGGTTTAAGTCTTGTGAATGTGATGTGTGGATGAGTTTGCCTTAATTGGCCTAAATGTCCCCCAAGAAATAAGAGCATTATTCTTATTGTTATTATCTGAGGTTCTTTCTCCTCTTTATGAGTTCCATACACAGCATGATGATGATGATTTAATGATCAACCACTATACACGCATAACACATTGATATCCCTATGCTTCTTATTTTTCTGATCTGGAATCTTTGGATGTCCTACAACTTTTTAGTTCATGACAGCTGCCATTAAAATGGGGATGCATAAATAGCTATCAGAAGAAAGCTTCTCTACTTGCCTTGTTTGATGGAATTTTCCTGTCATCTGACCCCTATCCCTATTTTTGGTTTTTCATTCTTCTTCTTTACTTTTTGAATTTAGTCAGTTCTTTTGGGTTCATTATTCTCTCTGAAGTTCCAATGACATTCCCGTTCTGAGTAGTTGTAGATTTATATTTATAGTGGATCAGCATATGATATTGTTGTGGAAGAAGCATTACTCGTTGGGTTGATCCACCAAGTTCTCTTTTTGTTGCTGTTATTAAATTTTAATTGCCAGTGCTTATCTATTTTATTAAGTGTTGATGCTGTGATGCATTGACTATTCAAATCTTCCATGGTTGAGTTTTCATATCTTTAATTGAGAATGACGAGGCATTAAAGATGCATGATATCTGCAAGTAACAGTTTCTTCCATTTTTTTTATTAGGGCTGAGATAGCAGCGTGAAAGCTTTTTCTCTTTTTCTATGATTGAGTGCTGGAGGCATCTTTGGATATCTGCTTATTGAAGCTCCATGCAACAGACATTGCTAATTCAGGAGGATTTGAATCTATTCCGCCTCCCCCCTGCTCTCTCTCTCTCTCTCTCTCTCTGTTATATATGTATTTTGTTTTCCTCAATAATGTGGTCGTTAATATTTCTCTTGGATTCTTATCATCAAAAAATTATGTTGGCGGGCATGAATCTCGAGGCAAAATCAAGTTGGAAGCTTCCGAAATTAATTTCAGAATCATATGATCTCTGATCTTAGCAAACTTATAATCGAACTGAACTTCTCGAGACGACGAACCCAATGACACCAAATTCTACTCAATCTGAGCCCAAATGGGTCCAAATCGAAGACTCTAAGCGACTTTGGAAGGTTTAATCCATAATTTGGATTACAAAACGTATTCCAAACTTGACATGCTTATAGTTGAATCGAGCGGCTTGACGAGACGAATCCCAGAGCCCAAGATCGCTGAATTTTGATATCATTAAGACATTCAAATGCTCAGTATGCGGTCCACAATGAAGTGCTCTAAAATTTTTTCATTTTTATGGGGCATGCCACTCTTAAATATCTGGAACCATTGCGGACAATGAGAAGGAATGTCCGAATTGTGAGGCATATTTTTACAATTATTGGCTGATCATTATATTCAAAACTCAAAACTTGCTTGTTAGTTATATTTTTTTCCTCAATAATGTGGTCGCTAATATTTCTCTTTGATTCTTATACTCATCTTGCTATGGCGAACTTCAAGGATGGCCTGAAAATTCTCAGGCAACCGATGTATTATTTTCCTTCTATATGCTTGAGGTGTGAGTGTACTTCTAGAAAGCTGCATTTTTTGTTTGTTGGAATAAAAGTCATATTGTTCTCTCTCTCTTTCTGTCCTAAAGGACTGCAGAAACCATGGTAGTTTGAGATGATCTGCATAAATAATATAATATAAAAAAAAAATTGCTCAGTATATCTTACTGGCAACCCAAGTGATTCTTCTTCTTGTTCATTACCTTAGAAATTCAAGAGTCTCTATCTCGATTCTATTTGTTATGTATGTTGGAAAATTGAAATTGCCCTGATGGGGGATAATATTTTTCATTTAAATTTGGTAATTTCAAGATTAGTGGCATTACATGACCATGTGTGCTGTGATTATCTGTTTTATGTGTGAAAAGTTTTGAGGGCAATGATGATGATGATTGAAAATTTAGCCATCAACTGCACATGGAGGCTATGAGATGTTCCTATGTTTCCTATTATAGGGCTTGTCTGGATGGCCTGGAACTTCTCAGGCAACCACATCTCCCATTAGCATGGCAATTAAAGTTTAGCAAAGTTTCTCTACTTATGTCAGGGATTCGTTGGCATGTGACCCTTCTTTTTTTTGCTTTCTTCTTCTTCTTCTTCTTATCCATTATCGGTTCTTGCTGCTTAGCTTTGCTACTTTTCTCTGGCTACTAGATGATTAATTACTTCTGGGAAGGCAGTGAGTTACTGGTAACAATTGACAATTTGGCCTTAGTTAATTCTTCCTCTACTACAGCAGAGAGGCATCAAGGATGGCATGAGGCTTGATATGTTATCAAAAAAATTATCTTGATTGGGCACGAATCTCTAGGCAAAATCTAGTCAGAAACTTCCAAAATTAAATCCGGGATCATATGACCTTCGATTTCAGCAAACTTATAGTCGAATTGAGCGTCTCGAAAATACGAAACCCAACGACACCAAATTCGACTCAATCCGAGCCCAAATGAGTCCGAATCAAGGATCTGAAGCTTTGTTGGAAGGTTCAAACCACAATTTGAATTACCAAATGGTTTCCAAACGTGACATACTTATAGTCGAATCTATAAGATGTACATCAAGTTTAGGCCTTCCCCCAAGTAAGGGCCTCATTTGTAATCAACTGCAATACTAGTGGATTCATTCAAATTGGGCTAGGCCCCATGGTTTTTCCCCCTTTTCAGGGGTTTTCCACGTAAAAATCTTGATGTCTCTAGTGAATGACACCCTCTCTTTTTATCTGATTGCGTGCCGGATCTTCGTACAAAGTAAAGATGTTAAACTTTATATTTTTCTACTGTAGTGAATACTCCAGGACACAACAAGGCCCCACTAAAAACGTAGTTGTAGTGCTATTAAATACTTCCCACAGTACTGCTTCTTTTACCAATGTTGCCGCTACTTCAAGAACTTGCTTATATTTAATTGTTTACCTGCACGTTCCAACTTTGTGTCAGATTCTTTTCAGGAGGAGGATCTGGAGGAATTTCTTTGCAAGACGCTTTTAATCACATTATTTCTCTATTTTCATTGTAGAGGCCGGATGATTTCCTTTCTCTAGGATTCTTACTCTTTTTTAATATATTAAAAAAATATATATATGTTTGCGAGCATATACTTTTGCAAGTTTGGCTGTCAATTATTTTGTTACATCTCTCTCGGTATGCCTCAAAGTTAGGTTTTTCTATTTTATGGCTTTTTTTCCTAGGTGGTGAGCAAGATTATGAAAAGTTCTTAGCTACTGAATACTCTCTTTTGTTAAGTTGTGAAGCTTATTTCTCAACAAAAGAAAATAGGGAACTCAAATTTTGCCGCAGAACCTCAAGTGGTGTATCCAACATTAGCGGGTTATTTTCTTTAATTGCTTCTTTGGGATTTTATTTTACTTTCAGCTGCGTTAATTTTTATTTATAAAGAGGGGTGCCGTGTTTATTTTTTATTCAAGACAAATTAGCTGTGATGTGGAAGATAATTCTACTGCCCTTTATATCTCTATGCATAGCAGTTTTACTTTCCATGTGATGGTTAGACATGAAGAATGTTTTCAAAAGTCAATAGGTGCCGCTAAATATTTATTTTCAAAGGATTATATCTAAATGATTGGTAGGAACTTTTACGCTTTCTCTCTATGTGATGTTTTCCAATGACGATCTGAGCCTTTTCTTTTTTCATCACTCATTTCCTTTGGAGTCTGTCAGATGTCATAATCCTGACCTTTGTGCAATGTTGTTAGGCAGGTTAGCAGGTAATTATTTCAATATGCTTTCATGAATTTATTCTTTAATTTCTGCTATCTATGAATGCTCCAGCTCTGAGTTCATTTTTTCATTACAGTAAGGAGGATCAACCTATGGTATTTATTGATTTAGAGAAAGCATTTGATAAAGTTCCAAGAGGAGGGCTAATGGAGAGTTCTAGAAAAGAAAGAGGTTAATAATGCTTATATTCAAGTAATTAAGCATATGTATGAAGGATTTGTTACTTGTGTTCAAACACAAGTTGATTTGACAAAGTATTTTCTTATTTTTGTTGGATTACATCAAGGATCAACCTTAAGCCCATATCTTTCTGCGTTCGTCATGGATGTTCTCACTAGACATTTGCAAAAGGTTGTACCCTGTTGTATGCTTTTTGCTGATGATATTCTTTTTGTTGATAAGACTAAAGAGGGAGTCGAAGGTAAATTAGAATTATAGAGGTCAATCTTAGAGTCTAAAGGTTTTCATTTGAGTATATCTAAAACTAAATATATAAAATGTAATTTTAGTTGTAATAGATTTAGTGGAGGGATTGTGACTTTGGGCGACTAAGTCATTAATAAGAGTATACGATTTAGATATCTTGGGTCTATTGTTCAAAGTGATGGTGAAATAGTTGAGAATATTATTAATAGACTTCAAGTTGGATGGTTGAAATGGAGGAATGCATTAGGCTTATTGTGTGAGAAAATTCTCACTCAAACTTAAGAGAAAATTTTATA